GGCGTTTGACATCATCGGCGACAATGCATGGCCGGAAACCATAGTGAGCAGATCACATTTTTACTCCAAACAACGCCATTTGTGCCCCTAGAACCATCTTCGAAATCTTCGTTCGAACGTGGCGAATTTGAAGGGATGAGAGATCCATCATATGGATGGCCGAATCTTGCAGGAAGGTTGGGCGAAATTTCAAAAATTTCTCTCTCTCCCATCTAGGAATCACATTCCCTATTTTAGAAAACTGCATTTTCAAGGATCGTTCTTGAATCCAAAATCGGACCAGATCTGAAACCAAAAGAGGAGGAGAGGGATATACCTGATATGAAGTAGCAGTAACTCCCAATGAAGGTGTTCACTTCCAAGGAGAATACCAAAACCCGCTTCCACTGAAAATGACACATTGTATAATGAAGCAGTATCAGTAGGATAGCTCTTCAACAAGAACAAGGATCCTTCAGCAAGAATCGAACAGGGGTTGGTGAGCACGACTTCAGATTGTTTCTTTAGCTAAGAAACAATATCAAGAACCTTTCTTGATCAATTCCTCAAGAGGAGACGGAACTGAGTAGGGATGGCAAGAATAGGAGAGAATTCTATGGGTTGTTATGTTATGTAACTGAGGAATCCGCCCCTTTATTTATAGCCTTCTTAGGATCAGCCTCCTAATCTAATTAGGAGAGAGTTCCTTAATCCAAATCTGATATTTGGATCTGGACTCTTGAATGGATAAGACTTATCTTATCCTTCAGCTAATCCTAATTAGATTATAAATCCTATCTTGCCTCATTTTATTTAACTAACTTAAGCCCAGTTCGAATTGGGCTTTAGGCCCATTAAGCTTATGTGCTCACTTAACCTCTTAACTTGCTGTCCAATTGGCTCTCTTTGTATGGTGTGAGACCCAAACATTGATCTACACATCAGCCACATGGGTTCAGCCCAACCTTTGTTACAAGGCATGGCCGAATTCATTGTAGGAGACAGTGAACCCCCTGAGTCCATCACCATGGGCTCTTAATGGGCCCAACATTTACACTAAATGGTACTTGGGTCCAGCTATCTTATGAAAACCCAAGGAATGTGGGCAGATGCAAGATTAACCCATCAGGTATTACCCTCAATGGTCTTACACTTAACCTATCAGCCCATAATGATCAAACATTGTCCAATAAGAGATGACCTCTCCCTCGGCTACAAGGAACAGTGCTGCAGCACTGTTCCATCAGAGAGAGTGCATTACCCGATCATTCACTTTGTCCGACAAAGGGGTTGATCCTGTCACTATGATCATCCACTCAGATGAATTTCCGGACTGTCCCAACATACCCAAGTTTTGACCCCCACTAAGGATCTCATTGATTGGCATATCAAAGACAGTCCGATCGGACACCTAGTGCAGTACCATAATCGAGTCTAGGGGTCAGGTGTAACATTTCAGTTTTGCCCATCTATCTCCAAGGTCTAGGGCAATACTGGAATTTTGGTCCGGTTTAGGGTTTCAAGAAAAACCCACATTGCATGTACCTCAGGTCTCACCCTGGCAGCTGAGACAAGCCACCCCAACCAAGGATAAATCTCCCTAGATTTATCCAACGGTTGTGAAGATTCTAAATTAACACGAGTCTTATAAGTGTCCAGTTTAAGGGTATTACACAGAAACACACCACAATGACATGAATCAATTATGTACTTTATTCATTTACAATGAATGTCAAAAGATACATCAATCTAATTGGAGCTAAGGACATAACTGTCTAACATAATTTTACAAGATCCAACTGGCTTTGAGCTGGTAGAATAAGTCGGCAGATTTCATTGCTTTTCTGGCCAAAAATTGACCTGGAGCCACTCTCCTGGATGATCAATGATGCATCCATCAAGATAGCTCTTATAGTCTGAAATGAAGGAGTCTAAACGCTTACAGTTATTCCAAATATGACCAATAAATCCACATTTGGCACAAGTTCGGGGTAGTTGTTCATAGCAAAAGCAAAGCTAGATAGGCTTGCCCTTGTAAAAGATGAATCGTCCTGGATGCAAGGGTTGTCTGAGGTCTATAATGATTTTTTTTCGAACATAGATACCTCTAAGGAGTTGTCCTGTGTGAATTTTATCCTGGTTAGGTACCACTACTCCTGTTGCACTAGTAAGATAACATACTCGACTGTCCTTTACCGTCCCTCTTGGTATCATGTGGATTTGGAGCCAAACTCTATGTGCCCAAACTCTACTGCTTTACAGTCCTTTACTTGTAAATGAGTTTGTCCATTCTTTAAGAAGAATCCAACTCGATCGATAAAACCATGGACCACCCTCTAAAGCAGTAGAGCGGTCATTATGATTTATAAATGAGAACTCCAAGTCACCACCATCTAGGAATCGAATAGTCATAGAACCCGATGTCTTCCATTGTTGCTGAACATAGGTGGCCAGGGTTTCTTCATTTACTTGTTGACGCGGGAAGATGCGTCCTCTTCTAAATTTGGAACTTGAAGAGTCCGTTAGACTTCAGGTTGACAATGAACACATAAACTTTAAAACAAGACACTAATATTGTCTTCTTTAGAAGGGTAGTTTTGACATTTTCAACAGATAACTAACAGTTAATTAATGGTAACTTGACACATTTTTAAAGTTTAGATACTAGATACTAACTTGACACTACCCCAAAGTTAAGGGTAGTAAAATGGAATTTTTCCTAAAATAAAAAAAAACAGCTTAAAGACAATGGGTAGAAAAAGAAAGGGTAAATTACAAAGACTCCCCTATATTATGGGGTATGTGCAACAAAGACTCCCTTGTACTATGACCGTGAGACAAAGACCCCCTTCCGTTAGCCTTTCGTCCAAAAATGTTGTTACAATATTTTTTAATCCCTATACTACCCTTCTAATAACTATTCCTTTGTGAAAATTACTATTCATCTCCCTCGACCTTCCTTCAGGGTCATAGTACAAGGGGGGTAAAAAAAGAAAGGGTAAAAACACCCTATGGGGTCTATGACAAAGGGTAAAAAAACAGCTTAAAGACAAAGGGTAAAAAAAGAAAGGGTAAATTACAAAGACCCCCCTTCCGTCCAAAATTGTTGTTACAATATTTTTTAATCCCTATAATACCCTTCTAATAACTATTCCTTTGAGAAAATTACTATTCATCTCCCTCGACCTTCCTTCACGTTTCTCTCCCTCTCCCTCTCTTTCTCTCACCCGATCTCTGTTCTTTTGAGATTGCGATGAACGAGTGAGAGGTGAAGGGGAAGAGGATCGTTGCATTTCACCTGCCATTTTGGCATGTTGCATTTAATAACGGGTTCTTCCTCTGTAACCACTTGTTCTTGGTCCTTCAAGCCAAGCTGATTTTCAAGCTCTTCAAACCTTCAAAAGCGAATTAGTGGATCCTCTGGGAATCTTACGGAGCTGGAATGACACAGATGGAGGGATGGGGCCATATTGGATGTGGTGGACTCGAGGATGAATGGAGAGTATGACGAGTCAGAGGTGATGATGGTTCTCAAGTTGGGGATGATGTGTTCCCACTGTGTCCCCGCTATGCGTCCGACCATGAGACAGGTGGTCAGGTACTTCGAAGGGGAAATCAGTATGCCGGAGGACTTGAGTGAGCTTGGGGACTACAAAGCTGCAGGGAAGAACGAAGAGGGGTTTGATGATTTCATACATTCCTACCCGCCGCCGTGGTAAGATGAGCTCTTATTCTTTCACGGGAGCTGGAGACGTTGATGTGGAAGTTCCTGTATCGACGTCGATGCCTCTTATTTCTGGTAAAGGTTGTTTCAAGAGAGAGTGATCTCTTTTTCTCTTCTACCCAATTTATCTATGCTCTTTAATTTCTGTTGGGATTCCCCTGCGGCATTGCCTCGCTTTAATGTGTTTGAATGTAACTGAGTTACTTCTGGCTTGTACACTGCTCACCCCCTAATCAAGTGAACACACCAGAAGAAGAGAAGGAAAATGGAAGTGAACATCTCTGCATCTCAGACTCTCGAACCATCCTCCTCCATGGGAAGTCCTCCTCCTCGTTGTTTACTACCTTGACCCCAAGACTCTAGCCATGGCGTCATGTGTCTGCAAGTCGTGGTCCGTCTCCATGTCCTCAGACCACCTCTGGAAGCCCATATGCTTCACTCACTACCCCTCCCTCTCGACCCTCGGCCTCCTCGACACCGCCGTCTCGTATTACCGCCTATTCGCTCTAGGACAGAGCTCATGCAAGCGTCGTCTACGCAGCCCTTCAGTACCCCATATCTCCCTCGACCACCTTATCTTCACCGTGGACATCATCCACGGCGATTCAAACATTCTTACTCTTGCAAAATCCGACAGTGATCTCAACAACCGCTGGAACGGGGTATTTCGAATTGATATTGAGCTTCACGGCGACAACAGATCGATGATAGAGATGTCTGGAGAGGTGAGAGTCACATGGACGGTAGTACTAAAAGGTTGGAGAGGAGTTTTCTCCATGATGGATCGTAAGGGGAAAGGAAGGCTTGTTGCGGCAGGCAAGAGGTGGTTCTCGAAGGAGCTTCTGTCGCCGGGGTGTTGCTCGAACGCGGTATCAAGTGGTCTTGTGGCAGAGTTGGGACTGGAGTTCTCTTATGCGAGTGATGGTGATGAGAAGAGGAGGGTGGAGAAGGTGAATATGGGTATATTGACTGTGGTTAGCTGGGGATATTTGGGCATTGGTGATGGTATGAGATACTTGCAGCATTTTCTTCTGCCAGCTGTTGTGTGGGAGAGAAATGTGAAGGAAGGTTGGGAAAGATGAACAATATTTTTAAAGGAATAGTTAATTAAAAGGGTAGTATAGGGATAAAAAAACGGGTTTTTTTGGACGGAAGACTAACGGAAAGAGGTCTTTATCTCACGGTCATAGTATAGGGTCTTTGTCGCAAAACAAATCACAGGGTCTTTCTAATTTATCCAAAAAGAAGAAAAAATAAAAAGATGAAGCCCGCCTCAAGTTACCAAAAAGACATACATATGTCTTGCTTTGTGTTGCGCTCTCGGTATCTCCACTCTTGTCCGTCTCTCTCCGTTTCTTTCCCTTCCCTCTCTGCACTCGTCGCTTCCCATGTTAGCCTGTTGCACATACCACGGGAAGAAATGCAGAGCGGCTGCAGATGTATTGCTTCTCTTCTTCCTGATCTCAACCTTCTTTCTCGGTTCCAGCGCTTGCTCCGGCGGGAATTGCCAGGTTTGTTCTCTCTGCAGACATTATAAAACAAGAAAAAAGTATTACTACATTCTCTTTCCTTCCCAGTTTTCTCAACCTCAATAGAACTTCTGACTCTCAGCTTCTCGATTCGTGTTCCTTGCCCACCGACTGTGGGCCCGGTCTGTACTGCGGGAACTGTCCTGCAAGTGGGAAGACAGAGCCCACTTGCACCAGAGGCCAAGCCATCCAACCAACATCAATAGTGAGTTCTTCCTTTCTTCTTGATTTCTTTTCTTTTTTTCTACAACCCATATCTGTCTTTATGCTTTAAACACAAATTCTTAATTTCATGCGGCATCTGAGTTACTGTTTCTGTCTGTTCGTAGATTGCGGGGCTTCCTTTTAACAAGTACTCCTGGTTGGTGACCCATAACTCATTTTCCATCGTCGATGCACCGCCTCTGACTGGTATTCAGAGGATGACATCTTACAATCAAGAAGACTCTGTTACTAATCAATTGAGGGTATGCGTCAATAATTAGAATCCTTTTCACTAAAACTTCAATTCCCAGTGACTATTTCTTTATTTGTGACTAAATCAATCTTGAGATTCTGGGTCTTGTTTAGAACGGTGTGAGAGGGTTGATGTTGGACATGTACGACTTCAACAACGACATCTGGCTCTGTCATTCAATGCGTGGGCAATGCTACGACTTCACTGCTTTTGTAATCTACAGAATTGTTTAACCAATTTAATTGTACACAGTTGCTTGTGCCTGCCATCTTTAGTAAAATGATATGGCTATTGCGCGCTGATTGCATTTTCAGGAACCTGCAATCAACACCTTAAAGGAAGTGGAAACATTCCTGAGTGAAAACCCATTAGAGATTGTGACCATTATAATTGAGGACTATGTGCATACACCCAAGGGGTTGACAAAGCTTTTTACTGATGCTGGTTTACTCAATTATTGGTTTCCTGTCTCCAATATGCCAACAAAAGGTGAGGACTGGCCCACTGTGACTGACATGGTTGCTGAGAATCACCGGCTTCTGGTGTTCACTTCTGATGCATCCAAGGAAGCTAGTGAAGGAATTGCATACCAATGGAGATTCATGCTGGAAAATGAACGTAAGCACTGAGCACTAAAACCTTCCATGTATTTGAAACTTCAATGTTTCATCCTTTTAAATACAGTATGTAAATTTGTATTATAATGGGTTTCAGCTGGAGATCCTGGTATTGTACAAGGCTCATGCCCAAACAGAAAGGAATCACAGCCGCTAAATTCCAGAAGTGCATCTTTGTTTCTACAGAACTACTTCCCTACATTTCCAGTAGAATATGAAAGCTGCAAAGAGAATTCAGCTGCTCTTGTTGGGATGATTGGTACTTGTTACAAAGCTGCTGGAAATGTGATGCCTAACTTTCTGGCTGTTAACTTTTACATGGTATAACGACTTTTTTTGTTTTTTGTATATGGAAACCTATATACACAACCAGCATCCTAATGAGAAAATGGGTTATGCAGAGAAATGATGGAGAAGGCGTTTTTGATGCTCTTGACAGAATGAATGGCTTTACATTATGTGGGTGTACTACTGTCAGCGCATGCCAGGTTTATGTCTACTGCTTATCAATCTTATCTGAAGGCTTAGTATTTGATAACTCACTGCAATTGCTTAAGGATCCTACTTCCATAAGATAAAAATGAAGCATGTATCGGTATGACAGGAAGGAGAGTTACCTTAACCCTTGCCTGTAAGATGACTGAGTGCACAAGTTCTTGGTTAATTTTTTTTTATCAATAGTTCTTGGTTAATTTTTCCCTGAGTCAATATATGCATCTCTTTCTAATCTTTTTCAAACAACACTTGAATTAGGAAGTAGTTTGGTCAGGATCCACGGTCAATTGGATCCATGGCATATGGTGGAGAATGGCTTAGTCCAACCTCTCATGGTGAGTTGGTGACATGTATATTGTGGACAAAACTCTTTGTAAGACTCATTTTCCTGATGGAACTTTTGCAGGTTGGAGCACCAATGGGATCTTGCAAGGAAACTGCATCAACTAATAGAACTCCTACAACCAGAACTGGTGGTAGTTTCTCTGGATATGTTCAGTTGTCGGGTTCTACTTCACAAAACCATTTTTCAGATTGGTTCATTCTCAAACCATTCTGCCTTCCATTGATGGCATTTTTGTTACTTTAATTAATAGCACCGGGACATAACTAATATGTGTGTATGCTGCCTTGATTAGCCTAATTAGTCATTACCTAATTCTTGGAGTCCAAAAAGTTTCTGCACTGCTAGTGGGAGATAAAGACAAACTAGCTGGAGATATAGAATACAATTGAGGCAACAACACTCTTGAGTTCTCAGACCAAAATCTGGTAGTTAAGGTGTGCACTGTGCTTGGGGTTTGGGGATAGATTATTGACAAGAGAGATTGAAATACAGCACACAATGGTGCTTCGGGTATGTGCCACTTTAGGAATTTTCTTTTGGTTGTGCTTCAGCACTAGTTTTGGTTTCTGAGACGGATTATCAGGGAATCTTTTCTTGCTGTTGTATGAGAAATATCATAATTTTATGTGCACTTCTCATCGAGTTTTTTTCCATTCCTCTCCTTGGTAGAAGGAGGTTTTGATAATATACTTTGGTTTCTGGGTCTTCCCAATCTAAGTTGAATGTTTTATGTTCGTTTTGGTTATACTGGTTAGATGTTTCATTGTTTTGTATATGCATGAATTGTTTAGAAATCATGTTAATTCATTTATTATAGGACTGATTATTTACATGGAAAGCTTTGGATGTATACAACATATTGGAACATGGTCATGCACAATTGGAACAATCAAGAGGGGACTATACAGTGTATTTCTGATATGAAGAGTTGGCATTTGGCAATTGGTTAATCTTGAGAGAGATCCTCTCAGGTATCATTGCCAAATGACAAGGATTGAGTTCTATCTCTGATTTTTTATCACACTAATGGCAACATATGGAATTTTAAAAAGTGGAAGCAGATGATTGTTAATTACACTTGCTTTCATGCATTCAACTCTTCAAGGTTTACTTGTTAGATAGCTAAGCTGAAAGACACTAGGTTTCTAGTAAAGGATGATTATATTTTCCATTTTATCAGGTCATACATTAATTGGTGCAGCATATATACAAAGGATACTGTCTTAGTAATATAAATGTGGAAAAAGAGAAAGGAACCATGGAAGAAGACACCAAATTTCGCCATACTCCTGCATTAGTGGCAATTTCATAATTTTTGGATGATTAAAATTTTGGTCAATTTGAGTTTTTTAATTATTATTTATTTTGTTCGTATCCTAGGAATATGTTTAATAATCTTAAAGGGAAGTAGTTTAAACTTTAAAGAGTGATATTAGAGAATTTATAATTTTGAAAAGTTGAAGGTACAAGCTATTTACTTTTTCTTTTAACCTTTTTTAAAGACTCAAAACTTAATTGTTTTGCTTGCTTTTGGTGTTACCAGATAACTTATCCAGTTATCTACCACTGAGATCAATACCTTGTAAAATTTGATACGTTTTTAGAGAGTTACGACCATCTTACTGCTGGGGCATTAGTATGCTAAGGTATTTGAGTTTTTATAAAACTTCTAGTCTATCTTGGAGTTTCTTTTGGTTTGTTTAATTTTACCAGTCTATCGGGTCACTGTCAGTAAATATTCTCTTAGCCCCCCCTCTCTCTCTGTAGTTCCTCTTCTAAATGATCTATCTCTTTGTCATCTACTCTCTCTTCTCTTTCCTTCTAATTTCTCTGTCAATCCTTGGTGGACAGCAAGTTGCCTACTTGTCCATCCCTATTTGTCATCCTTGTTCACTGAAAGCTCCTTGTTTAAGTATTCAAAGGACATCCAGTTAAATAACTAAGCAAACTCAAACAACATCCATGCAGAATAACCTTTATGTGGGAGTCAAAATACACTAGGAGATAATCATGCAAGTGCTTCCCACCCCTTAAATGGCAATTTAGGGAAATCCAGTACAGAAGAAGAACAAAACTCTTCTTCCTTCCCTCCTCTTCTTCCTCTTGAGGAGGGTTATTCCTCCTGCATTCTGAACCTCATTTTTCAGGTAGTGGAACACTTTGCATCACACCACGTCTTAAAACATTGGCTTGTATCAGCTAGAAATTATGCTTCTGCGAACCATCAGTCAGCAACACTTCGTACATTAAATAGAATTATGTTTTAGAACCAACACTACTGCTAGAGAACCTATTACCAATTAAAATCTAGGGAGGAAACTATTATTCCTGCAGAACATGTAGGGCATTAGTTAACGTTGTACTGTCTGACTCCAAACTTAGTCAACCTTCTCTTTCTATTGAAAGTTAATAAAATCTGAACCATAGGAAGCAAAAAGGTAGAGAAGACGGGATTTAATGCTAATTTCTAAAATTCTGGAAAATTTATGAATATTCTAACAATGGATATGACACTAAACACGGTGGGAAGGCAGAACAGGATCATGTAACCATTCACATATGGTTGGGAACTTGGGACGAGGCTTTCTCGAGTTTAGTTGACTTGAATATGGAAAACTAAGAGTTCTAAATAGTCCTTGATGGAAACAATTCATGTTCTCCATCTACTGAAGCTGATTCTATGTTCTAAAACCGAGGAAATCTTATTAAAATTCCAAATATGTGGTCTTGTAGCCCCCCCCCCCTCCTGGTTAATTGTAGGCCTCTCGCTTCATTCTAAAATCGGGACAACTTCTTTAGTTGTTTATGCAGTTATCCCACTGATTATTGTGTACTCTCAAATTTTCACCTCCATACCCTTGCCTTTTGTGGGCTTTGGTATTAACTTGATATCATGATGAAAACTATCATATAACAAGTGCAGTTGAGAGTTGTAAATAGGGTCGACTATACCACAGATATATGTCGGATTCCCAGACATCCGACATACAAGAATACAAGTAGCAGTAGCCCAGGGGGAAATGATCAACTAGATTGAGATCTCCCGACTAGCCCAAATTGGCCAACCGGTCAGCAGGTTGGTTCAACGTGAGTAAAACTGGTTGGTATGGATCCTTCTTCAACTAGCCTCTGGCACTCCTCATTGTTCCCATGTGTTCTCCATGGTATCTGAGAATGACTTGACTATTCAGGCAATCCATAACTATCTTTGAATTCCCCTCTATCCACACGGTTGCCATCCACACAGTAGAGGTACCGATTTTTCTTGCAACAGCTTCCAGAATTTTGCCATTATGGCCCCTACAAGGCAACCCTTTTTTATAATAAAATAAAAGATATGAAAAACCAGTGGGTGTACCTTGGGCGGGCTTGGGTAAGGATTTTGTTAAAATTTGAATGGGCCCAGTTAAGAAACCCAGGCCCGATCCAAGCCTTATTCCAAATATATGGGTTCGGTTAAATGCCATATCTATTGTTAAAATTATGGTAGTTTGACCAATCAAAACTACTCCCGTTAATTTTGATGAATATGCCTTAAGAGGCCATTTGATAACAGCTGAAGTGGTTGAAATGACTTATTGCTTGTTTTCTAGTAGATAAAATAATTAAATTAGCAAAATATTGAAGGGCATAGTACAACACCCAACTTCAACCACAACCATTAAGAAACCCGCCAACATCCTTAAAAACTTATTCGCTAAAAGACAAAACAATAAGCTTTTCAGTTCAAGCCATTACAGCTGTTAGGCCCCTTAACACAAGGCGTCAAGCGTTGGACTACCATACTAGAGATACCAGTTTTCAGCAATTATAGCTCAATGCCAGCAGTCAACCGTATTTTGTGCTTCCAATTCCATACCTTGAAACGACCATGTGTAGCACCAGACGTCACTTTGATTACCGTTTAAGGAGTTGAGAGTCCTTTCATTCATGTCGCCGTTTGCCCAAGGAGAGTTTCCGAGTAAGATGGTTACACTTGTACTAACCGGTTGGCTATTCCACCACTAACAATTACAAATCAAATGGCTGAGCATGTATCAAGAACCAAACACACAGGTGGTCAAACCCTTTATTTTCTCATTTCTCCCTTGAAACTTGAAAGATCAATCATATAACGCACACTCTAAAATGTTCTTCATTGAGTTGTGTTCGTATACTAATTTTGTTTTGGGCCTTCTGTTGACTGTTGGTGCCTGGTCCGCAAAGCTCGTATACTGCTGCCCACTTTTTATAGAAGGGCAACAATTAGCGACAACCTAACCAGGCAACCATGTTAATCAACCATGGGCTTTAAAATGTTCATCATATTTTTTGTTGCCTAATATTCATTTGGGTTTCGACGCTAATGATTGACTGAACATGTAATGTTTTCATATTACATAACTGAATAAGAGCATTCCAAACAAACTAACATTCAAAAGAAAAAACCTACAAGGTTTTCTGAGGTTGACATGGAACATTTCTTCACCAATGTCATGTGGGTTCCAACGATGTGTATATATGGTTGTCATATGATCTACATACCATATTATAGATCATAATCATAGTAGCACCCTGGGCTCAAAAGAAAGTAATAAGCATATACCTGTTTAGTGTCATATCCATTGTTAGAATATTCATAAATTTTCCAGAATTTTAGAAAATTAGCATTAAATCCCGTCTTCTCTACCTTTTTGCTTCCTATGGTTCAGATTTTATTAACTTTCAATAGAAAGAGAAGGTTGACTAAGTTTGGAGTCAGACAGTACAACGTTAACCAATGCCCTACATGTTCTGCAGGAATAATAGTTTCCTCCCTAGATTTTAATTGGTAATAGGTTCTCTAGCAGTAGTGTTGGTTCTAAAACATAATTCTATTTAATGTAGGAAGTGTTGCTGACTGATGGTTCGCAGAAGCATAATTTCTAGCTGATACAAGCCAATGTTTTAAGACGTGGTGTGATGCAAAGTGTTCCACTACCTGAAAAATGATGTGTATATATGGTTGTCATATGATCTACATACCATATTATAGATCATAATCATAGTAGCACCCTGGGCTCAAAAGAAAGTAATAAGCATATACCTATGCTAAAAAGAAGATGCACAAGTTCAGTGGGAAACAAACACCACAAATATCGAGTTCAAACAGCACAAGAATGTACTAGTCATATACACTTTAATCCAAGACGTGTGAAAATCAGATGATGAGTTTATGATGACCTACGTGGATATAACGTTGTCCCTTCCACAATCCCAATGGATGGGAATGAAGAACTGCACTCTCATTTCTATATCCCCTGCATAAAAGTTTCCCCCATTGCTTTTACATCACAAATTCAAGGAGACAGGCAAAAACCATGGAGCTTCATCGATGCCTAAAGCTATATTGTTTTTGAGAAGTCCTAAAAGTATAAATTTTACATTGAAACTTAACAGATGATTTTTCTAAAAGGACTTGATGAAAACAATCAAGGGAAGGGCAAATTTCTTAAACTACCCTTACTATTTAGCTAATTTCTTCTTCTTCTTAGTTTTGTTCTCTGTTTCCTGGTTTAAAACAGTGGTTATGCCCCATTTTTCTCCTCTTCCTTTTTGTATCTTTTCTCCAAGTTCTTTGAATCATTTTATTGGACTAAAACAGGGGCTCCGCCCCCTTCTTTTGTTCTTAAATTTCCTGCATGTTTTCAGCTTTTTTTTCTCATTATTGGTGTCTGAAACAGGGACAGAACGGGGGCTCCGCCCCTTCTTTTATTTATTTATTTATTTTTGACAAATAACATCAATTCCATTAAAATAATGAATAGATACAAGATCCCCTTAGAGGCGTGAGGAGCAGCCTCTCCAAACCACAAATACACAAACTACAACAGAGAAAACATGAATGTTGAAATTAAAACAATAGTTACAATTGTGCCCAGAACAATGTTTCCCTATTTATCCCTTGTTTTGCCAAGACATTAGCAAAAGCATTAGCTGATCTCCCAACCCATTGTACTGTTATAGACATATTTCTTGTCAGCCATTTGAATTTTTTTAACTCATTTTTGTAGCCCCAAGTGACATCCTCCGGATTATTTAACCAGTCCACCACTGTCTTAGAGTCTGCTTCAATCAGAAGCTGCTCCATGCCCACTTCTTTTGAAAGAAGTATTCCTTGTATTGCAGCTAGCAGTTCTGCCCGGATAGAGTTCCCAACTCCTAAAGGACCAGAGTAGATTAAGACAACCTCTCCAGCCTCATTCCTCGGTACACTTCCCATCCCAGAGGGACCCGAGTTACCCTAGCTACTCCCATCAAAATTCAGCTTCAAAGAACCAAGAGGAGGGGGGATCCAGCTAGTCACTGTCCTTCCCTTGTAGGAGGAACAGCTTGCTACCAACTTCTTTTATTTTAGTATTTTTTCACCAGATTTTCTGGGTCTAGAACAGGGGCTCCGCCCCCTTCGTTTGTTCTTAATTTCTTACATTTTTTCAACTTTTTTTTGTTCTCATCATTGGTTTCTGAAACAGGGGCTCCGCCCATTCTTTTCTTCTTCATATTTCTTCTTTTATTTTAATATTTTTTTCACCAGCTTTTCTGGGTCTAAAACAGGGGCTCCGCCCCCTACTTTTCTTTTTCATTTTCTTCTTTTATTTTAGTATTTGTTCCCTATTATTGTTGATCTAAAATAAGGGCTCCACCCCCTATAGTTCTTTCAAATTCTAACATCTAACTTGTAAGTTGCAAGTCTAATATATTGTTTTGCCTACTTGAAGCAACACTGCAAGAAATACAAGCACAAATGTAAGTGCAGAATACATAAAACCAAAACAACTAGTTCAAAAGAGGTAGAAATCCATTGGCAAGCCTTATTTTTAAATTCCATCGCCTAGGCGAGGGCTAGGCGCCTGGGCGCCCCATGGTCGCGCCTAGCCTTGCCTTGGTGCCTTGAAAATTATGGCCCTCACAGCATCATTCCAGGCTCACATACACCCTATAGTAACTTGCAAAGAGGGAAAACCCAATTCATGCCACGGCGAGTTGCAGCGGTGATGATGATACAAGGGAAGGGGAAGGGAGAGAGAGAGAGAGAGAGAGAGTTACAAAGGGGAGAGTAAGTGAGAGATCGAAGAGGAGAGGGGGTTGCCGCCACTGGTTCACTGCAGCATAAAGCAGAGAAGATAAACAGAGATTTCTTGGGGGCACAAAATACATGGTAATCTGCTCTCCTCCCTCAGATTTGCTGCATGCTATCAGATAAGAAAAAAGGAGCATTGAGGAAGCTGCAACCATGTCTCCTGTTGCAAATGTGGATTTCCCAACACATTCTTTGTGTTTTGAACATGAACGTCAATGGGAAACAGAAGATCATTTTTGCTTTGGCTTCGATCAAGGGCATTGATCATCGTTTCGCCAATGTCACAAGATACGTGATTTACTATGTAGAAGCAAGGAACTCTTCTTGGGCTCAAAGATTCTAACCAAAGCTAGCTTGGGTGCATCCTTGAGGAGAGACAAAGGAGTCATGGTCCAACCCATGAGTTCGAACCTACTCGCCCCACCCACAAGGCAAATGGCAATTCTCGACCGCTTCAACTCTTTCTTCTTCGCCAGCAAATGATTCATTAACCTCTCTGTCTCTTTCCCTGTTTCAAAGTTTTTCTCCTCACTTCCCTAATTTCAGAGAGAACTATAGTCTTATTACGGTTTCTCTCAAGGGAACAGGATTGCCTAAACAGGAACAATCTGAAACTTCAGACCTGGGCAGATGTGGATAAATCCTTTGGGTGGAGGCGAAGGATTTCCAATTGAAGATGTGTTTTAGGGACCATCTTCCAGCAGCGAAAAAACAGATTAATAAACCTAAAGAGCTTTGGGACTTCAGATTTGTCAATTAGCTAAACAGTAGGGATAGTTTAAGAAAGTTGCCCTCCAGAGAACCTCAATATAACCAAAGACAAACAAACTTTAGATCTTCAACCATAACCTAGCAAGGATTTTCCTATTCTGCCATTAAATTGCAAATCTGTCAAGCAGTTAGCTGTTAACTATATATGGACCATCTGTTGGAATAACAATACGAATATACGATACATCTGCATAAAAAGGCACTTCCTCATCATTGTTAATATCATCTAAGCCTAGTCCCAAGCATATGAGGTCGTCTGAGACCTGAGGACAATTCTATATAGCATTTCCTTTTTATCTCCCAGCTTATTTGTGTTTTATTTGACATAAATGAACAGCTAAAGTACAAGATGAATACCATTTTTGGAACCGGATTTTAATTAGTAGCAAAGGAAACAACATTATATCCACAGACATGTCCCCAAGTCCGTGTTTTCTTATCCAAACCAGATTCTTAATACATGTTGTATTCTGAGTTCTAACTTCTTTGTCAGTGATAATGTAACAATCAGCAGCACCAAAAATTAACTCCTCTAGAAGGTAGAAGCTATACATTACCAACTTACAGTATCAGTTTCATATGCATTAATACTCTGTATTCAAGAGTTATTGGGATATCTTGAAATAACAGAACATAGGCAGTGAGCTATGAAGAACAACATAAAACTCACACCGGATTTGCTGAATGCACCCAACTGCCACACAGATTATGATCACCAATATTGCAGTCTACCTAGTCCTAGACTGCAAGTTGCTATTCACATAGTAACCTCCTAAATCTAAAAGATAATTTTCTTCAAAACCAACAGATATGATTTGTTTCTGTTCTAGTAGCCCACCCCCATATATTTTCTATCTTTTCTTTTATTGCTTCGTTTTATTCTCATAAACATGTTGGTTTTCCATGTTTTGATATGAGATTTATACTTCATTTATTTCAAGGGGAATATGGTAATTATTAGTTAAAGATAATTGTTGATTACAGATTACTATGGCACCTAGATAAAATACCGTAAAGATCTCTAACTAAAAACAACAACTAAATATGTTAAATCTCTTAGAAGCCTAAGCCACTACCGGAAATTGTGAACCCAATCAATTTAAACAACTAAAAAAATGTAAGATCGGATGACAAACTAGCAAGACAACAAACAAATGAAAGAGTAGAATCGTAGGAACTAAAATGTAAACCCCGGTATGAAACTTATAATGGAAAACAAATGCAGTTACTATTTAAATCCGGGGGCCTAATTTCATCATTCAGCAGGGAAAAATCGTAAAGATGTCTAACAAAAAAACCAACACACTCAGCATAGGAAATATTAAGGTGTGTCCAGATCTCCCGAAAACAATAACCGACTTTGGTATCCTTTCTTCCAATTATAACTAAAAAATTATACATAAAACAAAAACAGAAAAAGAGAAACACCTCTCCATTTCGAACTTTTTCTCCTCCTTTCAACGGTAAGATTTCTGGAAGCGAGCACGGGCACCCCGTCCACCAAACTTTTTAGGCTCGCAGCGTCTTGGATCGGCCACGAGCAGGGTCCTGTCGTACCGGACGAGTATGTCCTTGATCTCTTTCTTCGATTGTTCATCGACATACTTCTGATAGTAAGCCACAAGCGCTTTAGCAATGCTTTGACGGATGGCATATATCTGTGAAGTATGACCTCCTCCACGAACCCTAATCCTCATGTCAACCCCCGAAAATCGATGACGACCCAAAAGGAGGATTGGCTCATAAGCCTTGTAACGGAGAATCTCCGGCTCAACAAGTTCGATCGGGCAGCCATTGATCTTGATGAGGCCTCTACCCCGCTTGCAGTAGGTCACTGCAACAGCGGTCTTCTTGCGCCCAAAGCACTGAACCGATTCCACAGCCGCCATTCCTTCCTCTTGCTCTCAAAACCCAAAACCACCTGCAAACGGTAATCAAGCGGGAAAGAGTAAGCAGAGACAGAGAAGGAACTACAATATACCGCGATTGTTTCCTTTTATATGTGATAGCGTAGGGTTTGACTCGAGAACTGAAAAGCCCCGACTTTAGTTACAATTACAAATATGACATCGTACCTTTGCACTCATGTCATAAATAACATCATCAAATGGTGTTCCGTGGATCATGGAATGCATATTAAGAGTGTCGTATCAAATTATGAAATGCAAGTTCTGATAAATGATGCTCCGGGTAGAACATTTCATCCTGAAAGGGGAATCACCCCTTTATTTATTTTTGTTTGTCTTAAGCTCTCTCATCATACCTATATTACCTTATTTTGCATAAAACAATCTCTGAAGAAACAAGGAGTGTTAAAAAGTCTTCTGGTGAGCAAGTAAATTTCTCAAAATCTAAGGTATTTTTCAGTAAAAATCTACACCCAAAAAGATTATGGCTAGAAGACTAAAAATCAAAAAGGTGGACCACCCTTGAATATATCTAGGTTTACCCACAGAAGTTGGAAGATCAAAGAAAGAGCTTTTCAACCAATTGATAAGGAGGATTCAATCCAAAACATCCAAATGACATGAGCTGCTCCTGCCAAATGGAGGTAAATAGGTTCTTCTAAAATATGTTGTTGCAACCATACCAAATTACACCATGTCTTGTTTTCTGATTCTAAAATCCAATTGTGATGATATGGCAAAAGCCCAAAGGAAATTTTGGTGGGGGTCCCAAGAAAAGAAGAAAATCAATTGGGTTAACTGGGGTATTATAAGCAAGGCCCTCATGGCAAAACAGGCATGGAGACTGCATAGAAGAGAAAAATCTGTGGTGTAAAGTGATACAAGCTAGATACTTAAAAAGAAAAAACTTCCTAAATGACAATTTACCACACAGAGGTTGGGGATGGCAAAGTCTCCTAGCTGGTAAGGAAATCTTAGAAAAAAGGGGGCTTTTGGGGAAGTTAATTCAGGAGAAAAGTTTAAAATATGGGATGACCCTTGGCTAAAGGACTTGCCAGACTTCAGACTAATGGGCCCAAAACCTGGAAACAATGGCCCTATCTGGGTCAAGGATCTAATAGACCAGGAGAGAAGATGTTGGAACTTAGTCACTCTAAGGGAATGCTTCACAAAAGAAATGGAAAACCAAATTAAAAAAAAAATCCCCTTAGCCTCGGGTAATTGGGAAGACAGATCAGCCTAGAAGGGAAGCTCATCTGCGACTTTTACTGTAAAATCAACATATTTTCTAGCAAGCTGGGAAAGGTCAGAATCCCCGTCTATAGAGCAAGCATCTCCTAGAGTCAATTTCCAAAACATAGAAAATTGGAAGGATTAATGGAAATTAAAAATAGATCCCAAGATTAAACATTTCATCTGGACATGTTTGTGGAATGCAATAGTTGTCAAAAGTAATTTAGCCAAAAGGAACCTGATTCAATCCATAATCTGTCCAATATGTGCAAAGGGGTCAGAATCAATAATGCATGCTCTTTTCAAATGTAACCATGCTAAGGTTATCTGGTTTGGCTATCTGTTTGGGTATAATTCGGATATGGCTCCAAACGAATTTAATAGATGGTTCTCATGTTAGATAGGAAACTGCAATAAGCCGAAGGATAGGAAAGAAGAGCTCCTAAACTACTCAGCCTTAGTGCTATGGACAATTTGGTAAAACAAGAATAAATTTATTTTTGACAATGAAGTGCCTAACCCGAATATATCTCTTCTATCTCTAAATAGGGCTTGGAAGGAGAGGATGAAGACTTCGCTGAAAAAATGGCCAGGTACTTTGCAAGTGCCTAAAGAAGAAATGTCAATTTTTTTATGGCAACCCTGAGAGCCAAATGTTTTGAAATTCAATGTGGATGGCAACTTTTTAAGTGAGGGCAAGGCAGGTTTTGGAGTGGTTTCTAGAAACCATTTTTGATGCTGTGAAGCCATTAATTTTGGCCCTTCGTCAGCTGCTACATCTCTCCAAGTAGAATCTTACGCTTGTCTCCAAGGTGTTAAGTTAACAAAGGTAATCAATAGGGGCCCTTTTGTGGTTGAAAGCGACAACAAAACTCTAGTGCAAGCTTTGGTTTCTAAGAATCTTACTGGAGCTTTTGATGCGTTTGTTATTTGTAAAGATATTCTTTTGTTTTCTCTAGGAGGGAGAGCAATTTGCTAGCTCACAATCTTGCAAAAAAAGGACTTATACTGAAGTGATTCCCCTTTGGCTAGCAAATTGGGTGGACTCTCCACCTTCTTTGTAATCTCCTTTGTTTTAAAACTATTGTCTCCTTACCAAAAAAAATCATCAAATATCTCTTCTACCGTCCATTTCCACTAACCCAATCCACACTTCCATAGATAAGGCCCGAGCAACAAGAAGGTGAACCAATGGTGATATCACAATTATGTCCTAACCCGATCAATATCCGAATCGAGTTTAGTATCGAACCGAATCATGCAATATTTGAATTTGAATCCAATTACAAATTATGATATCTGCATTTGATTCGATATTTGCTTATTGAAAAATAATATTCAAATTCAAATTTTATTAAATATTAGAATCTTTGACTTGATTCCAATTTGACTAATTAATTATTTTAGGTAATTAATAGATACATAAAATATATTTTTATTTATATAAATTATCTATATAATTTAATTATTATATATAAATTATATAAAACATTTTAATATTTTATATATTATATATAAAAATTAAGTAATCGGTCGAATTAAGTATTCGATTATGTTGAATCTCAATTTTGAAATCAGATTTTCGAATACCATTGACACCCCTATATGTAGGTATCTCAAGTCTCAACGGGTCAAGTTTGGCATCTTCACTCTAACTTGATCTTTCGATGTGCACACCTAAACCCAACCCAATAACATGTACTTTTCTCAACACAACCCGACCCTGTGGTGTTCAACCAATACTGATCCAACCCAATTTGTATCCATGACTCCATGGCGGATGCACCAGGATAGTAAAGTCTGAATCCAACTCTAGTCGAAGAATCAAAACCCTGACTCTAATTGATCCTTATAGCAAAAAAAAAAAAAAGAAAAAAATCCTTACTTTTGGACTTTGGACTAAATTTTTTCAAGATAAGCAATTGGTATGGTTAAGTGTGGGTTAAGGTTTACGACTAGCCCGAGTGCAACCAGATTGGAACCTGGAGTAGCTTATGCATATGTAGCTCAATTTCGTAGTAGTGCCTATACAAATATGTATGGTCCAAATGGATTTCTTACTCACATCCCTATCATTCATGGGGAGAATATCTACCTTATCATGGTGTTCATTGATAATATCTCTTTTATTATTCATGGGGAGATGTTCCCAATAGTGTCTTGTGGGTAGGCATGTGGAAAGAAATTCTATGTAGGAGATTCAAGATGCAAAATCCTGTATGTCATATTTCTAAGAATTGGACTATAATACTAGAAAGATATGATATCTAAAATTCGTGTGAGTTGTGATCGACCATCAACCGATATCATAAAGGTGGTGACCAATGAAGTGGTACTTATCAACATTTTGATACCATTTTTTTCAACATCATAGAAACCTTGTATTTATATTGTACATGTTTGTAATTGTATTATTTCCAAGTTGAGCTTATGTTTTATAAAAGTTATGATATGCGCACTGTACTAGAGTAGCATGTTAACACATATTTGATATACATACATACATATATACACACTAGTGGGGACCCATGCAATGCATGAGCTTTGTTAAATGAAATGTAAAACAATAGAAATACATAAAGAGTATATAATAGTTTTATATTTTAAGATTTTAATAACTAATCCGATCGAACTCAATTTGAGTTGGTCAGTTTTCTAGTATTTCCATTCGGCTTTGGTTCAACATCTTTCCAACCTAACCAAGTTAGGTTAGTTTTGGTTTGGCCATTTATAAATCAACCAAAACTAAACCTACTCGATATATATATATATTATTTTAAATATAATTTTTTAATATGGGAAAGTGAGAAACTAGAAAAATTCCTACATGTCTTAGTCCAAAATATTTTATATTATAAATTTAATTTTTTACTAATACCATTGTAATTTATTAAATTTAAATTTATTTTTTATGTTTAAATCTTTTAAACAAATAAACCAAACTGAAAATACACCCAAATAGATACAACCTGAGTTGGTGGGTTTTCACTAATGTTAATCGGTTTCGGGTAACAAACTCCCAACTTGATCATGTCGATTTGGTTGGCGAAACAACTTGCAACCTAATTGAACCAATCCTTGAACGCTCCTAATTTCAACTAAATTAATAGTATAATCTCTAATAAATAACAAATGTTTAATCTCCAATAACTATTGAAAATTTATAGAAAAAATACACAATTATTGAAAATAAATTTATTATAAAAATACAATATACGTCAATAAAAATACAATAATTACAAATATACAATTGTCCATACAAATTTTGTGCTAAATTTGGAGCACAAAAATTAATGAAGACAAACCAAAGAAATTTAGTTTTTTTTTTTTGAAATGTAGAAATGTAAGTGGGATACAAACTCTTTTTTTTTTGTTTTTGCAAAGGAAACCCTCTGATTTTCTTGTCACGAACACAACCCGAACTTGTACTTGTAGCTTGTTACGGACACAATCTAAAAAACTTGACAACTTGCAGTTGTAGAAAGAACTTGCAATGATCAATTGTGCACACACAAGATAGGAGAATTTTCTTTTTCTTTTGGTTGTAGTAATTTGATGAAGCTTTTGATTACAACAACCCAAAGGCCAGAATCCTTTAATTGACGTGGCACGGAACTGTAACGGTTTCGAAGCTTTAATGATTGAGGAGCTGAAACTTTGATTCTTCTTCCCTTGATGTTGGTGCAACCTGTCTCTTATTCTCTAGAAACTTTAGCAGCAACGTTGGAGCTACTCTTTTTTTTTTTCAAATTTCCTGTCTCCTCCTTCCTTTTTCTTATTTTTTGATCATCTGTTTTTTTGTTAAAGAACATGCTCACCTCTTTCAAAGGGGTCCGTTCTCC